GAGAGGCACACGGACTCGAGGAGCGCGCTCCATCCCTCTTCCCCAGCTGGCAGCTCTGCCTCTGTGGCCATGGGCTATTGCATCAGAGCCGCGCTGCCAAACACCCGCTTCCTCTGCCCCGACCCCCACCGCACCAGTTCCAGAGACGCTCCCTCGGGCCGCTCCAGTGGGAAGGATGCTGGCGAGTTCTGTAATTATTTGTAGGATGGCCGGCTACTGCAGACTGTGCCCTGGCGCTGGCAAGCCAGTGTGATTCACAGGAGAAATAGGTAATTAAAGGAAAGAAACCATTTCCTTGGTTTATTTTGAGCTGAACATCACACAAAATTAAATTAAAATATTTCTCTGCATTTTCCTGCGCTCCTGCTTGCTGCCTGGCTGCTCCCCATCCCTGCAGGACTCCCGCTGCTCCGCCAGCTCCTCGTCCTTGTGCCACCTGTCCCCCCGGGTCCCCGGACACAGACCCCTGCCCCAGCTGAGGGGGGTCCCCATGTGTCTCCAGCTGGGGGAATGGCAGTTGTCCATCCCAGATAGCACACAGCGGTGGCTGGGGGGACTGGGGGTCAGGATAACGGGGGTTAGGAGGCAGCGTTTATCTAGGGACCTGCAGGGCCGCGTGATGTTCTGGTAGAAAGGTTTTGCTTTGCTTTTCTTCTAATTCCGGTTGGTTTGCTCATCTCCCAATTCCTGACCACCTTGGATTTTCCCAGCCTCTTGGTTTTTGCCCACTCTAGTCTGCATTCCTCCCCTGTTGCCAAAACAGACCGTAATTACGTACTGCAGAGCCTCTCCGAGGTATTTCAGCTCTGCCAGCAGCTCTGGAGCCTCTCCACTCACCCGCAGGTGATGCCTGCTGTTCCCATCCGGCCCTGGTACTCGCTCGTGCTTCACAGTTTACAGCAAAGCGCTACGCTGGATTGCGATACCTCGTGACGCACAGATGAATCATCCCCCTGCTAAAAGGTCTGCACAGAACCAGGGCCCCGAACAGCGAGCAACCGCGGCTCCTCCTGGACGGGATGGAGCTGGCCTGGCAGCATTTGCACTGAGCCCTGAAAGGGGAATGTTTCTAAATCCTTTGCCTTCATTAATCTCCTGGCTTTTTAGAAATTTTATGAGGTCATCTACTTACAGACTTGCCTTCCACCAGAAAGAACTGCAAGGCAGAAATAAATAATGTTCTTTTTCCTGTTCTTGTGGCTACCTGTTGGTTTGACTGAATCTGCCCAACAATCTCCCCTTCCTCAGCTTTACCATCATTATTATTATATTAATAAAGTTGTTTACACTGCTTTGCTCCTTGCTAAAATTACACAAATCCACTAGCAGAATCCCAACATACTGAAAAATTAGCAGCTCAGTAGAAACTCTGCCCATGCTGTGGGTCCAGCCTCGCCGCCTGCGGCCGAGGTTCAGCCGAACGCTCCCCAGCTCCCCTCCCAGCCCCGCGCGGTGCCGGCCGCACGCAGCAACGCGGCAATTCCTTCCTCACCTGCCCACAACCAGAAGCTCTTAATATTTTCATTTGCATCAAGAGAAATAGGATAATAGGGGCAATGATGATAGGACAAGGGGCAATGGGTTCAAGCTGGAACATAGGAGGTTCCACTTGAATATGAGGAAAAACTTCTTCACGGTGAGGGTACCAGAG